TTTCATATTTATATATATATATATATATATATTTATATTTAAAATTTTAATATTTTGAAAATATTATTTTTAATCCTTTTTGAATTCTTATCGGATCGGATGAAGGTGATAAATCTTATAATACTCAAAGTGTAACTACCGTACATATACAATAGTTTTTCATAAGCCCACTCCATAGAGAGATAGATACAAAAAAAAAAAATAGAAGAAAAAAATTTTTAAAAAATTATAGGAGAGAGAAAATAAAAAAAAATTGAGTCAACGTGAAAATCTTTTTATCATTTTTTGTGAGTTCAACTATAATTATCTTTGTTTTTTTTTTTATGTATCTATCTCTCTTTTCAAAAGTGGATATACGAAGTAACTCATCGCATATATATAGTAGTTACTTCTTGAATATTATAAAATTTCTTGGATGAAGATAGATTCGAATTTTATCTATTTAATAAACGAATTAACGAATTAAGATAAAAAAAATTATTTATCAAATTTAATTACATCCAATTCCATTCATTTACTACTCTACGCATGAACATAGGCTTATTATAAATTGATGAAATTCTTTATCCACGGAGGAATCAGTCCAGATTTCAAACATGTCCTCTCTTTTTTTCCTTCTAGAAATCAAAAATATTCTTCGATACGTTTTGAATGCAAAAAAAAAAAAAAACAGAAGAAGGTTTTATTGTGTTTATTCAGCGAGCCTATCGGCGGATTTCTATTTTTTTTAAAAAAAAAACAGATCTAAAAAAACAATGTCTAACAATTTCAGATTTTTTATCATTTATTTTATAATTATTGATGAAGTTTTTTTTTTTGGTTTTTCCCCGGTTTTATGGAGCATTACTCTAAAGTAAATATAGAAACTAAAAATATCCGTGTTCCAGCTTCGACACTAACTGGTTGGTTGGTTGGTTGGTTGGTTGGCTGGTTGGTAAATAGAGTCTCTGTGCTGGGCCGACATTGGAATATCCGGGAACACCAAGTCCAAACAAGAAGCTAAGCTACTTTCGTGTAGAAGAAAAACCAAGTTGTCAAAAGCGACAGGGTGATTTTAGATCGCTGGCCTGATTGATTAACCAAATAATAAAACCGCGAAAAGAAAACAATTATAAACCGTAAGTGTTCCATCAACCCAACTCATAGTCTCCTTCTTGACCGTCGGTCCATATTAGAAGGAACAATACGGCTCATTTCATCCGATTGCACGTATTCTTATTTCTCAATTATGACCCACTGGGGTGGTATATGCTTATATGTTTCTCGTCACATCAACTTGCATTGCTGGCATGGCTTGAATGATTGAACATCTGCATTTTCTACACATCAATTGGCCATCCTCTACCGCTTGTACATTTTATGGTAGCGAGTAAGTTAGCATTTTCACATGTTATCTAACTAGTTTTTTTTCTTCATGGTTACATATTATCAAAACCATATAAAATAAATCTTAGTTTATCTGCATTAATAATGTATCATTTACATATTATCTACTATATGTCTCATTGGAATATAACAATCGCACTAGAACTCAATAAATCACCGACTATAATATTTAAAATCATCAATTTTTTTCATAAAAAAACCGCAGCTAAGCGGTTTCCTAATATATATATATATACACATACAATCAATACAAAATTCTATTTTAAATCCTTTTTATTTAATAATTCAAGTTATATGAAATAACTCAATTTTGAACTTTATGAATTCATGTGATAATTTTAATATATCCATGGTAATGGCCGGATGTCAGAATATGTTTCCTTTTCACTTTCTCTCTTACTTCTTATGATTTTAACTTTTATATTTTTTTCTTTTGTTTAAGTAATTCCAAAGGTAAAAAAAATAAAAAATCAATGCAAAATCAATCGGTAAGTGAAGAATGGTTTGGAATTTTAAAAAGTTTAGGAGGATGGATGTATTTGGGACAAAATGTAGTTTGTTTGGCTCTATTTCATGTACTCTGATAACGATGAATTTTCTCAGTTTATATATTTTAGTATGTACTAATAAAAAATGTTGGATTTGGGTTTTATATCTGTTTCCTGAACCAAATAGTATAACGACATCGATACACTTTTTTAATGAAAAAAGAAAGAGGAAGTCACGTTGACAGTACAGTATGAGCCTGCCCAAGTTATGACAGCAAGAGCCCTGCCTTCCCGTGAACTCTAACGAGGTTTTGCCAAATGCAAGAGTTGGTACTTTGCCTTTAATTGCAAGTTGCGAGAATAATTTGCTCTAGTCAGGTGTATCTTGTGGTAGGTTATATATCGTTTGCTTCCGTCGTGGTCATGACCACCTAATTTCGTTACCTGTTCCATCGTCAAATAATGAATTTTAATTCCAATTGCCAGCTTGACGTTGTATATATATATTGCAAAATGAATTGAGTTTTCAAATTTGTCAACGAAATGATTACACCCATGAAATTTATGCTTTGCAACAAGCTTGGCCGATACAATAATAATGATAATAATAATAAAGATAAGAGCAAGTAAACAAATTTGTTTTGAAATCCGCATTCAGGAGTTCTTTTGTTCATACCTGAAGCCAGATGCCAGCAAATAATCGTCACAATTTAGTTGGATCATCCACGAAGTGGACTATCTTATCCCTTGACACCAAACAATCGGCTATAACTGGAAATCCATTCCTCCCCTGTTGACAGGTACATGAAATTAATGCCTGGATAACACGGAAGGGGGATTAGTTTCTGATCTCCTTAACATATGGCATTATGCAATGAAAATGAAACCTAAGCTTAATTTCGTGCTTGACATGGAAACTGGAATTTAAGCCAATTAATTACCATTTTCTCAACTCACTGATTTATTTTCTTTTCTGGCCAAATTGGAGCAAATTATAAATTATTATTTTTTTTTAGTTTTTAGAAACAAATTAATTATTTTTTTTTGTTTTAAAAACTAATCATTTGATTTTTTTTAACTCAATCTTTTTTATTTATTTTAATTTTTTATTTTAAGAAATAGAAAAAAATATAAAATCATTGATGAGAAAAAAATGATATGTATTTTTTAAAATAAAGTAATATCAAATTAAGTATGATCCACAGTGATTAAGAGATTAAATTATAATTTACTCCCAAATTAGTCATGCTAAATATTATATGCTTTTTACTAGTATTATCGATTAATTGGATTTTGATTCGAATCTGATTTAGTTAAATAGATTTGATAAGTCATTTTTATGATCGAACATTGATTATAATTCAAATCCATTAATTTATTTATTAAATAAACCAAATGTAGATTTATTTTGATCCGATCCAAATATAATTTGAACTAAAATAAAAATTAGTATTATTTTTAATAAATATAATATTTTTCAAATATATAAGTAGTCTCTTTATAAATATGAAAAAAGAAATCAGCCGTGAAATTGAAAGAAAAAAGAAAAGGATATATATATATATATATATATATATATATATAAGAAAATTGAGAGAAAATAAAATAAACGAGTATAAAAAAAAAATCGTGTGATTTTGCTCAAACAAACACATCATCTCCGGTAAATAGCCTCTTATTTCCACTCAAATACCCAAAAACGACCCGCAACTCCAAAACAGCCCCTCTCTCTCTCTTTTTCTTCAAAATCAACAAGCCTTGACTTCTAACATATTAAATATTATCTTAATATATATTTTTATAATAATTAAAATACATTTTATATTAAAACAATATATTAGATACATGAAATATAATTGTTTTATAAAACAACGACACGAATCTGATGAAGTTTCATCCATAAAGATCTGAAAATAGTATTTTTAAAATTCAATTCGAATTTATAAAATTTGATTTGTTTTATTAAATAAATTAAATATAAATGATGATTCGCTGTAATCGAATCTGATCCATTAAGAATCTTAATTATTGCCAGGGATATTAATAAATAAAAGAAAAGGAAAGAACTCGAAGTCAGGCCTCTGTGTATGTGGGACTAGATAGGACCTGCTTTTGCAAATGTTACTAGTGTAGTTCGCGTCCCCCTTTTCTTTTGCTTTGGAAACAGCACCAACACCAGATCCACCGTTCTCTCTCTCTCTTGTTTGTTTGTTTGTTTGTTTGTGATCATATCAATTTCTTAAATCTAGATGAAGAAAATAACCCTTCTTTTTATCCCTATTTCTTTTTCCCATAATTACCAGAAAAATTACGACCAATTTGTATACTTCCCGCTCTTTTTAGGGAATATCCGGTCTCTATCTTTCTCTTCTTGACTAAACATCCCCAACAAGGAAACCAGCTACCGCGTGGTCCCCAAACACCCAACTAATCCACAAGTAGCAGTTCATAACTTTTAGTAGAAGCCAAACGAACGAACAAAACTGCCTTCTACTTGAATACAAAAGAAGAAAAAAGAAAAGGCCCCAGGGGTCTGTGAAATACTGAATCTGATTAGAGTGAAGAGAAAATGTGAATTTCGGTAATATGAAGTCAAGAGATTCCTAAGTGTCAAGGCAAGGACTGACTCGTAGGTATAAGTGATAGCTAAAATCAAGCCAACAATATTGTAGCAATATATTCTAATTGTGACAATGATCTACCATGATTAAAGGAAAAAAAGTTAAAAATAGTTATTAGGGCTGAGAAAGAGAGCACTCAGATATAAATTGGTGTCAAAAGAAGTGAAGGATAAAAAAATCTTACTAAATGATTAGCAAATATAGCAAGTAGTCAATGGTGTTATATAAAGTGATGGATACATTCAATTTTTTCGTGTTAATAAGATTTTTCAGTGTAATGTATCTGTTTTTTCTTTTTCCTTTTTCAATAAACCATGGTGATTTCTTAGGGTGAAGAAATCGGTTAAACGACAAATTAAACTTCGTAATCATCCATCATTCTTTTAACCACACACACACACACACATATATATATAGAGGAAAGACCAACATCGCCTGCTAGCTCAGACCCCATTTAATACTGGGATATAAATAGCACTGGTTAGCTCTGTTTCTAAGGCAGAGCATGGCCATGGAAACCCATTATTTACATGCGGTGTTTTTCTTGGTAAATGTGATTGTGTTGAGTGTTTCTGGTGCAACAGGAACAAAACAGTATGGCTCAGCTGTGGGAGACCCAGGAATGAAAAGAGATGGATTGAGAGTGGCCTTTGAAGCTTGGAATTTTTGCAATGAAGTTGGCCAAGAAGCTCCAGGCATGGGTAGCCCCAGAGCAGCTGATTGCTTTGATCTCTCAAGTAAGAACAAGCACCATACAAGGAAACGCACAGTATTAAAGAGTGCGTCTTTCTTTACTACTATTGTTTTTCAATTATTGAGTTTTTTATTACCAAAATCAACATCTAAACCTTTGTCACCGCTGAAATGGACATGTTTATCCTAGCTTCCATTCATTTGAAAGAGATGTTCTAATCCTAAATGAGTAGTTTTTCCTTAAATTTTTTTATCTAGCTTTTATAAATTAACAAATACAAAATCAGTTCTTTTATTAAGTTGTATTTGACTCTTTATCTGTTGCACTCAACTGTCTCTAGTGTTTGTGTTCTAAGCTAATTCTTTGTTAACAAATGGGGCAGGTTCTTCACTGAAACACAAGGTAAGTGAAGCTGAGAATAAACTTGGGGTGAGCCAGCCTTTCCCAGGTTTGGCCCCAGGAGCCACAGACAATGCAGACCTTTATGCAGCGCAGAAGGAGCTGTATCTGGGTTCTTTATGTCAAGTTGAGGATACCCCAATGCCTTGGCAATTTTGGATGGTCATGCTTAAAAATGGAAACTATGACACAAAATCTGGTTTGTGTCCAAGGAATGGGAAAAAGGTCCCTCCTTTTAGTCGAGGAAGATTTCCTTGTTTTGGAAAGGGGTGTATGAATCAACCCATATTGTATCATCAGCAGACTCAGCTTTTAGATGGTGGTATAATGAGAGGAAGTTTCAATGGGACATATGAGTTGGGTTCTCACATTGGAAGTGGACTTGACGGAATCTCTTTTTATGAGGTGGTTTGGCAGAAAAAAGTGGGTTCTGGAAGTTGGGTCTTTAGCCATAAGCTCAAGACTTCAAAGAAGTACCCATGGTTGATGTTGTACCTCAGAGCTGACGCAACTAAAGGATTTTCTGGAGGGTATCACTACGACACAAGAGGAATGCTCAAAATCGTAAGTAGAAACTGTTTGGAACCTTTTTTCGCCTCAATTTTCCAAGCAAATTTCAATCATCTTAACATAGTAAAACTAAGCTGCACTAGAAAAATACTTAAAAAGTTCTCCTTTCTATATTCAATTATTCATGTCCTAGTAAAGGGAAATAGAAAAAAAAGAAAAGAAAAGTAGAAGGCACTCTGGTGGTCTGGTGTGTCTTGACGATGAAGGTGTATTCTTGTGACTTGGTAGATAGAGATTTGTTTCCTTTCTTGTTAATGAAATTTGATCATTATGTCATAGGAAACGATCAATGATTGGACATTTTACTTACTAATGTTAATCAAGGTATCAAAATGAATTTGTTTCTGATGCACCTTAGAAGTTGGGATAAAGCATAAATATCTGTTGAGCTGTCCCTGTCCATTTCAGCTTGTTTGTAACTCAGCTGCTCATCTGATATTTTATTGTTTTCAAGTTCATATCTAACGAATTGTCAAAATACAATTGATTCTTAATCTACACTGTCAACTGCTAACTTGGATTCGTCCAACTAGTACCACGTCTATGATCTTGAGAAAGATCTGGCGGAGGTCACAAGCCTCTTAATCTTACATAATCATAGGACACTGGAAACTTATGCCATTTTGACATGGTTGCATGTGCATACTTCTTTTACCTTTTTAAAGTCTTGTGATGGATTGCACCACCAACCTTGAGTTTGCAGCTTTGATTAATCAGGCAAAAGGAACCGATGCCTAGTAAATTAGGAGACTTGTTCCTATCCTTATTCATTGGGCGCTTAAATATGTGTGTCAGTATGGAAAATAACATATACTTATGAATTTATTGATGTTGTGTTTGGTGTTTCCTCTGAAATTACATGATATAAAAATTAAATCAGTTTGCATGAAGTCAGGTCGGTGTAAGCCATAGTAAAGTAGTAATTAGGGATTGTATCAGTCCTGTTTTTGTATGATTTTCCTCCTGAAATTAGTAACAAGTTAGTTGTCTTGCAGCTTCCAGAGTCGCCTGATTTCAAGGTCAGAATGACTTTGGATGTCAAACAGGGGGAGGACCCAAGAGCCAGTTCTATTTGATAGATATTGGGAGCTGTTGGAAGAACGATGGTACTCCATGTGACGGAGATGTGCTTACTGACATAACCAGATACTGCGAGATGATTATCAATCCTGAAACTCAAGCTTGGTGCAGTCCTACAAATCTAGGAAACTGCCCACCATACCACATTACTCCAAACAACACAAAAATTTACAGAAACGATACAGCTAAATTCCCATACAGGGCTTATCACTACTATTGTGCTCCAGAGAATGCTCAATTTTTAGAGAAACCTGTCAGCACTTGTGACCCATACAGCAACCCTCAGGCACAAGAGCTAGTTCAGTTGCTGCCTCATCCCATATGGGCTGAGTATGGCTATCCAACAAAACGAGGGGATGGTTGGGTTGGAGATGCCAAAACTTGGGAGCTTGATGTGGGTGGACTAGCAAGTAGACTCTACTTCTATCAGGTCAGTAGTTAAACAACGTCTTTAGGGGTCAAATGTTACAAAAATGATGATAGTCAACATTTTATTTCTTTTACTGCAGGATCCAGGTACCCCTCCTGCAAGAAGAATATGGACATCCATTGATACGGGTACTGAAATTTTTGTTAGCGACAAAGATGAAGTAGCGGAGTGGACTATTAGTAATTTTGATGTTATTCTCACATAATTTAGTGTTCAATTTTCCTTTTTCTTTCAGAAAATTCCCTTTCAAATTAAGAAGGGAAACTGATCAAGAAAAAGCAAAAAAAAGACTTATCATTTCTTATAATGATGATTTAGAAAGCCGGGATTGGAGTAGCCTAGCAAGCCCGCAAGGGCTGGGTTGCTTGTCCTGGAGGCACAGCAGTTGATCCAATTGTATTCCAAAATATCAATGAATGCGAAAGAAAATATGAACCTTGTCAAGTTTCTTTCATCTCTACCAAATTCGTTTCAAGTGGAAGCCAAGTTCTCTTTGTGCAATGATTATAAATCTACCCGTCAAGAAAGAAAAGCAAGGGTGCCAATTTCCTAAAGTACGAAACTGGTGTTTGGCAACATTGAAATTGCTGGGAAACCTGGTTCCTCGCATCATGTAAAAGGATAGACTTGAGCAGGAACAACATCTGTCTTTTCGCGACACGTGTCATTTTAATGTGGACCTAGGTGGATAGGTCCCACCATGTGGTTGAACCTAAGTTGTTGGTACCAGACGGATCATGTCACCCAAAAAACAAAATAGAGCCGACAGAAAAGAGTTTCACGGGAGCTCAAGCTAGTTGAATTGCTTATTAAGATAGTATGGTCACATGGCTCTTCTTTACAGCTAGCTAGCATCATAAAAAAATAATAATAATGGATCCACGCTTCTCTTCCTTCTCTTTCAAGTTTTAACATTGTACTTCAAAGTTAAATGATTGCATTCTATTATAAGATTAAATAGGTAGAAACTCTCCTGAATTTTAATTTATTTAAAAATAATTTTTTATTTTTTTAAATTTTAGTTCTTTTTGTCAAAAACCATGGTCACGTAATAGCTCTATGATAAAAATTATTTAGTAAAATTTTTATATAGAGCTCTTGAAAATTTTTGATCAAGTTATTTTATTTTTTTCTTAACTTTTTATATTTTTAATGTTAAGAAAATAAAACAATATACTTCTATTCTTCGATAAATTCAGAGGTTTTTTTTTTTTTCAATAAAATGTATTGGATGTTTCCAAGGCGTGTGAAAAATTTCAATTTCAAAACATCTAGAATTGAAAATTTTAAAAGAGAGAATAGCTAGGGATGGACTAAATCTAAAAAAAATACAAAAATTGAAAAAAAAATCAAACTGAAAATTAAAAGTTTAAGAATTGATTATTAAATAAACTAAAGTTCAAGAGAGATCTGATCATTTTAACCCTCTTATTTTACTAAATGTTTTGTACCAAGCAAATTATGAAGATGCGTTTTGCAACTTTAACAAAACATGTGTCAAAACATGCTTTCTAATGAGTCGGTTAACGCAATATTTATAAATTTGGGACATGTTCGAAGTAATATTATTTAAATAAAATTTAAATCCACAATGAGTGTATGTAACTGAAATTCACATTGTCCTAATTAGGGATTCTATTTGAACTTACCAAATATTTCCTCATTCCTTTAGCAGATAATTGTAAAATTTATGTATTGAATAGGTGATTTGAGTATCAAATATTAGAGGTTCCTTTTTTTATTTTTTAACATTAAATATTAGCACAATGCAAGTCATGTAACTTTTTAGCTTAACCTAAATGGGAAACCGCCCCCCAAATTTTACCCTTGTTTTTGTGTGCATTTGGCAAACAAGGCCATGGGATGTGTATACACACACACACACACCCTATATGCGTTCATTCATCAATTTAATCCAATTGTAATTAATCATGTGTGATGAATATAGGGTAAATGGATGAAAGTTTTTTTTTTTTTTTTTTGACAATCGACTAAATTGGGCCCATTCCCCACTAACCGTTGTTGCATTTAGATTGTGTTTTGAACAAAAAGTCCTGATTGATCAGCCAGCAATAGGTTCAGCGTACCATAAAAATAAAAAGCCTCTGCGTTCAAATTGGCCGACAATTAGATTTCATGGCCCAACTATGCTAGAGCGCTCCCGACAAAGGCCCAAAATTTGAAGGCCACATAGAATGAAAACGAGGAGAAAATTTGTCCTTTTATAGGTCAGCCACTCTTGTTTTTGGGAATTTGCGTTTTCATCCTACTCTCGATACTTTTGAGAATTTCGAGAGAGAAAAGAGAGAGATCCCCGAAAGTCCATAACCTAACCCCAAAATTTCCAAACAATCCAAAACCACAATTTTATTTCAATTCACCTCCTTCAACATCAAAACCTGAAACCCACCTTAATTCAAACCTTAAACCACCAAATCGTTAATCTAGGGTTTCCTTTTCTTCTTCGATGGAGTAGAAAGCTAGGGTTTTTCGCTGTCTCTTGCAATCTCCGTATCTGGGTCAGTTTGTTTCTCTTTCTGTTTTTTTTTTTAATTGTTTTTCTGTCAAAGTTATTGTCTTTTATTACTACATTGTTGTCATATGTTGAATTTAGGTTTGCTTTTAATGTGAAAACTGTTCTTATGTCTGCAATTTTTGTTTCATGATTTGCAAGAAAGAAAGCTCTTTTTTTTTAAAAAAAAAACCAATTGCTTAACATGCTTAGAGTTTGAATCTCTTGAATACTTCTTTAACTGGTTACGTTATGAGTTGTCATGATTTTCGTCTTTCAAATTTTATAATTTTGTTACTGCTAGCTATGTCTTGTTTAGATTTTTTTAACTGGATGTGCATTGTCCCTTTTCCAGTGGCTGATGGATTTATTTTATTTTTGGACAGATTATTTGCTTTGGTTTTATTGAATTAGAACAATTGACACTCGCTGCAACGAACTGGAAAAAAAAAATCATGAGTAACCTTATTGTGATATGTCAGTCTGGTGGGAAGTTTTCCACCTCTAGTGATGGTTCCTTGTCGTATGTTGGTGGAGATGCTCATGCTATTAGTGTAACTCGCGAGACTAAATTTGATGAATTGAGGTCAGAGATGGCAGATATGTGGAAGTATGGAGCCGATTCAATGACCATCAAGTACTTTCTTCCTAATAACAAGCGGACTCTGATTACTATTTCGAGTGACAAAGACGTTCAGCGTTTCCTCGATTTTCATGGAAACTCGGGGACTGTGGATGTTTTTGTCATTAAGAATGAGAATTCAACAGCATTAGCTACAGTTACACCTAGTACAACTGAAACCACACCTATGCCTCCTCGCAAAAGGTAATTTGCATATCTTCTTAAAATGTGGACGAGGGAGGGTTATGTTGTTTTCCTCTGTTGAATGGATCACCTAGCTTCTGGTTGTATTTTAGAGGCAACAGGATCCGACCTTTGATTTTAACTGTATAGAGATGCAGCTTACCATGTGATATAATTGTTTCCAAACTGATTTAACTGTCATTCTTGTATTTTATACTTGTATTTTATTTCATGTTAATGCATGTTTGGTCTAGGTCCAGCAGGAAGAGAGTGGTCCAAGAAGAGTCCCCTCTCAATGTTACACCTGTTGCTGCTGCTCCTGCTCCTGATCCTGCTCCTGCTTTTCTTGCTTCTGCTTCTGAGAATGCTGGGCGTTTCAACTCCTTGGCTACAGTAGCTGCTGAAATTCAGAGTGTTGGACAGCTGAAACGTGTCAAGTTATGGGAGAATTGCATCACTGGTCTTCACCAGCAGTTTAATAATGTCCGTGAAGTCCGTGATGCTTTACGCAAGTATTCCATTGCTCAGGGATTCACGATCAAGTTTAAGAAAAATGATAGTATGCGTGTAAGTGCCAAGTGTAGTGTTGATGGCTGCCCCTGGAGGATTTTTGCATCAAGGTTGTCTACCACCCACTTATTCCGAATTAAGAGGCTGAATGAAATTCATACATGTGGAGCTGGTACCAGTACAGATAGTCATCCTCGAGCCTCAAAGAAAGTAGTGGAAGGTATTGTCAAGGAAAAGTTGCGTGATAGTCCTAATGTCAAACCCAAGGAAATTGCCAGTCAAATTCAGCAGGAATTTGGAATTGAATTGAGATATTCACAGGTTCGACGATGGATGGAGGCTGCCACAGAGGAGATTCAGGGTTCATACAGAGAGGCCTACAATCAATTACCATGGTTGTGCGAGAAGATTGTTGAGACAAATCCGGGTACAGCTGTCTCTCTTAACACCAGGGAGGATCTAAGTTTTCATCGTTTATTTATTGCCTTTCATGCTTCACTACATGGTTTTCAGAGTGGTTGTCGCCCCTTGCTTTTCCTTGACACTATGAGCCTGCAATCAAAATATCAGTCAGAATTGCTGACTGCAGCAGCAGTGGATGGAAATTACGGTATTTTCCCTGTTGCTTTTGCCGCAGTGGATGTTGTGAACGATGATAACTGGCATTGGTTTTTGGTACAATTGAAAACTGCACTTCCAACATTTCAGCCGATAACATTTGTGGCAGATAGACAGATGGGGTTAAGACAGTCAATTTTGGAGGTTTTTGAGAATTCTTACCATGCTTATTGCCTTCGCTATCTGTCAGAAGAGCTGAAGAGGGACCTTAAGGGTCCATGCATTCATGAAATTATTGGAGTCATCGTTGGACATCTTTATGATGCGGCATATGCTCCCACACTTGATGCATTTAGAAAGTGCATTGAAAGCGTCAAGAGTATTTCACCTGAAGCTTATGATTGGATTTTGCAAAGTCAGCCTGAACACTGGGCAAACTCACTTTTCCAAGGTGCACGGTACAACCATATAACGTCAGGCATTGCTGAGTCATTTTACAGTTGGTTAACTGAGCTTACAGCTTTACCAATAGTAAAGATTATCGATACCATTCGTCATAAGCTGATGGAGCTAATTTACACTCGAAAGGTGGATTCAGATCAGTGGCTAACAAGATTAACTCCATCTGTGGAGGATAAATTACAGAAAGAAATTCTCAAGGCACAGTCGCTTCAAGTTATGTTTTCACCCAGTAACACTTTTGAGGTACAAGATTTCTTGGGTGCAGTAAATGTTGTTAACATAGATGCCTGGGACTGTACTTGCAGGGAATGGCCACTTAATGGTTTCCCGTGTTCGCATGCTGTGGCGGTGCTTCAGCACATTGGTAGGGATGTATATGAGTACTGCTCCAAGTACTATACAGCTGAAGCTTTTCGCTTAACATACTCTGAATCAATAAAGCCTGTTCCAACAGTAGATAAGCCTGTGCTTGGAGAATTGTCAGAGGTTCTGGTAAATCCTGCCCCTCTTCGTCGTGTCTCTGGCTCTCCTAAGAAGAGAAGAATCCGGTCGAGAGGAGTGGTTAAAAGGCCACTGCATTGCAGCAGGTGCAAAGGAGAAGGTCACAATAAAGTATCTTGCAATGTGGCCTCGTAGATGCATCATGTTTTCTAGAGTCGTAACTCAGTTTCATGAAGAGCATATCGGATAGGCTGTTATCAGGCTGCCTGTTTAGTGTAGGGATAGGTTAGATGGAAAAGTAGGCTGAACTCGGATGCAAGTGACTTTTAAGGGCGTGTACTGTGGTCGGATTATGCATGCTTTAATTTTAGTGTGGCACTTGTTTTGCATCACTTGATTTTGATGATAAATCCATGTTTTTTCTGCCTTCTGTTTTCTATGGTAGCAAATCAGAATCTACATTTTACTACATTGTTGGCAGATTCAAATTTACTTATTACTAATGCTCGGTTTTTGTAGCAGGCATGGTATGTGCACGAGTCTGGTACGCTCCCCTGTGTCCTCAATTAGAGAGTATCAGCAGTTCTTTTTGAAGAACAAGGATATCAGCAATTCTTACTCTATCCATGTAAATGTTCCCGTAGCTTTAAGGTTCATTTACTGATTGATCACTATTCAACCCTGATCCTTTTGGTATCCCTCCCTGTTACAACTGTTGCTTTTTTCTGCAAGTGCCTTAACTACGACTCGCCAAAGGATAAAACCTGAGATATCCTTCATCAGTTTGAGCTGTTTGGCAAGAAGCATATGCTTTTTCCATGAATCTCAATTATCAGAGATCCTCGTGGGCATCACAAGTAGTTTGCATTAATCTAGAATGACTCAACTGGGATGAGATATTCAGTTTTCAGTGCGGTTGATTTTTTCATACCCTAGATCACATACCAACTAATAATCACTAGCTGTATGTGGATGTGCATTTTTTTCACAAGGAGGTTGGTTTAGGGGATAAGTTTGGTCATGCTAGGTTGTTAAGGTGGGCAGGACGGCAACCTGCCCATGATGTGGTTATCTTCATAGACCTCGCCAAGTTTCAGTTTTATAAAGAGATTACTCATCAAATATCTGTTCACCAGTGAAAGAACTTGGGTATTTCGGTTTTTAAAAGTAACTCTATTAAAATATTTGTCATTAAATTTTTTAGATCAAATCCCCAATAAAAATGAGTGATAATGATTGCGGAAATTTGTACGAGGGAAGATAGTAAACAGGTGTATTTTTATTTTTTTTGGCATAAGACAACCAGTATAAGAATAATTTAATTACTTTCGTAAATGACTTAGTGTGCCTTTCTAATTGAGTTTTGTAAGTACAAGCAAGAGTGCAGTACAGATTACACTTTTGAAAAATGTCCTGGAAATCCTTATCTGACTAGTACTGAAAGGAGGCAGTACAGGGTTAGCTAGTCCAAGTAGAATTGATAGTACATGTCTGATGTCTGTACTACAATGCTTTCTTGGTGACATATAAAAGAGTCCCATGGACAGCATAACCCCAGATCACCAAGGGGATTCTGTTCGGCCCAACAGTTTGTTGAAAGCTTTATTGTATTGAAAGGAGAAGGCTGAGGCATTGATAGGTTCATTTTGGTGGCAGAAGCTGGCATGGTATGGCTGCACAATTAAAGGGAAAGGTCAGTAAATGGGGGTTTTGAGAAAACGGAGCAGAAAGGGCCGAATAAAGACTGGGAACAGGCAGAGCATGGATTGAGCTACTGACAGAAATATCTGTTTTGGCTCTACCCATGCACTGCCTCTTCCCTGGCTTGTGGTTCTTCTTTTTCTCCTCCCTTCTGGTTCCATTAACTTTTTTCTTCTTCTTTTTTTTTTTCCTGTCACTTAATTTTAAACTATGATGTTGTGACTCGAGTATGACCACATTACATATCACTCATATAAGCTACAGTCCCTTCATTCAACAGGAAAAAAAAATAGTGTTAGCACTAGCAAGAATAATTTATAACATAATCATTGTATTAAATGCTATTTATGTTAATAAGGGTTTTTGGGCATATAATTTTTTTTTAGCCTTGCCCTTTCGGTAGAGAAAATTATCCTTATGATTGAAATGACAGTAGGAAGGGTAACAGAACAGGTGGGTTTTTACTATTTTCCGCTTCCACCATAGTGTGAATTCGGCATCATCAGAGGATTCATTGGTGGGGGCAGAATACAGTTTTGTACAAGTATTCTTTGTTCACCTCCAAACCACAAACCAATGGTGAGATCAAATTTCACTCTCTAGAAAGATAAAGCTACTACTTTTGATGAGTTTATAGATCATAAGAATAGAATAACATGTAGTTCCACTTTATGTATTTAAATGAGATAATGTGACGATTGTCGTTATATATCTTTGGCCTAGGGAGAATTTGTGCCCATGAAGATATGAATCTAGTCACTTGCTGCAGTCAGAACAAATTTTCAAGGGACTGACTTTTATTGCAGGTAGCGTGATTAAGTATGAAGTTCAAGAGAGAATTTGATTGAAATGTTTATTCCCATCTTCTGCTTCCTCCTGTAACATTATAGATCACAATGTTCCCAAATGAGCTGCCTGGAAAAGCCGAGGCATTGATTGATAGCAATGGAGATCTTTCTTTAGACATTAAACAAGCATGGAATCAACTTCGCAGTACAGCCACAACTTCCTCTTAACCTCCTGATAAATTTGATGATCTTGATGTTGATATTGTCTGATATATCGATTCGCCTCCTTAAAGAACATGATCGAATTGAAAAAATATCAATATTTAACTTTTTATTGCGTCAAAAGGATTGTAATTCGATATTTTACCATGACTATCTGGGCCCTCAACGGCATCGCTACAGAGCAATTTTCATGCCCCCACATTGTACTTCTGCAACAACATTGTGGATAATGTAAGGATGACAACCATTCGTTAAAGTTAAGGAAACTAAAAGAGATTGCTACAATAAAACAGTGATTTTGCACTTGAAAAACGGCGTGGTTTCGGTCAAAACACAAGCCAGCATTCCAGTTTTGAGATGGAATGGCTTGGTTTTGACAAAAAAAAAAAAAAAAAAAAACAGTAGATTTTTGTTTTAATCTCGGCTGTTCATCTCCATCTGCCTCTCCTCTCTCCCTCCGCCATGGAGAAGAAACATCAACTCTTTTTAGGCGTAGATCAATAGGTTTCTTTGAGAGAGAAAATATTTTTCTTTTTGCATGTTTTATTTTTTTACCGATAATTGAAAAAAAAAAGTCTACTTCTTAATATCTTTCATCTCTCATCGTTTTCATTAATTTTGTTTCAAAATAAATTTTGACTATTTTTTTATCAGTGGTTGGCTGTCGAAAAGTATGATAGGAAGATCACAATCCTTGCTGGGTTGATTGATTGAAGAGTTAAGTTACCAAATATTTATTTGTTCTTTGCTCCTATTTTTTTTTCCATATTAATTTATATTTTTATGAATTTGATGACTTTATTATTAATTGTTGATCAGCCATTGATTTCATCAGTTGAATTATATTTTAGGTTTGGTTGTTTTTTAGCAAATTCGTAGAAAACAAACACGATAAATTTTTTACTTTAATGGGATCAAGGAAAACTTAATGTAATTAATCTCAGGAGCAGTTGCACGCTGCTAGTGTGATATTTACGGAATTTGATGCCAGACTTCAGAGAATCAAAGCATTAGATAAAAAACATTAAAACAGATTGTCTCGTTCACTTGCAGAAATTCAGCATATAGCCGATGAATTTTTTCATCGCTATATGTTAAAAATCCATCACTATATATAATTAGGAATGGATTAAAGATAGTATAAATTATGTTAATAATATAATGGTTGTTATTTTCTTAACAATCGAAATTTGTTTCCGTCGCTAATTAGTTGAATTTTCATCGCTAAATCAATCTAAAAAGGTCATATCATTGTTATCCAATCACTATTTCACTTATATCCATCGCTAAATAACAATGGAATGGGTGCGCTAAATTATAGTAACTAAAATTCTTTCAATTCCGTCATTAAATCCGTCGTTATTTAGCAACCGTATATGTATTTGTCGTTAAATACTCTCGCAATTCTGTCGCTAAACAAAAGAATTTATATTTTTTTTAAAAAAATCAATAGCTTATATTGTTAATTATAATAACAAATAACTATAAATAACACGTTATTAAAACACGATATATTATTTACTAAAATTAAAATAATATAAATTGAAATAAAAAATATATAAAAATGTGTTAAAAGAGTACAAAAACATTAATTTTTTTTTTTTAAGAAACCTAGTCCTCATTGTCATCATTTCTTGCATCATCTTTCAACTCGCTAATTAACTCCTAAGTTGTGAGAGGATCGGCGGGAGAGACGCTAGTCTATTATAGATTCTATAACAACCTAATCGATGTCTATAATCGACTCTATATGATGCTAACTTGACTAGCCTCGTTATTGGATAATAACCTCTATCCTCTTGATTCTATCTTCACACTTAGCGAAACCTCTTAAATATTATCATCGGGATATCGTAAAGTGGCAAATGAGGAGTCGACACCAAAATGTGAGTAATACTTGAAACGCATAAGATCTAATGTCGTACACTCTCGACTTATTCTTTCCCACAACAACATCCAAATATATCTTGAATATGTCGATATCCGAAGACGATGAATCACTCTCCTACTTCTCCTTAGCAGCTATTTCTTGTATTGATTGCATGCACTACTATGTCATTTAGGTAATTGTAATATTAAATTATAAATATATTTTTTAGATCATATTAATAGATGTATATGTATTTAAAAAAATATAAAACATTGCAATTAGTGTACGCGATTGCTTGTTGACGAATGAACCATCTTTTTGCTTGTGAGTGATCACAAATAGCTTATAAGGATTTCGATTACAACTCAATTTATTACACTCGAAAAAACTAGATAAAATAATATGAGATGCAATAAATGTAAAAATTGATTTATAACGCAAAGGATAATATAAGATTTACTAAACGTTCGAGCGTACTTAATCAAAGAGATGGACCCTCTAGTGTGCTTGGATGAGTCAACATCGACACCATCCATCTCCGACATGCAATTTTGGAACACTTGCTCGGATCGAACTCGATACTCGAGAGTGACCTAATCCCCGTGTCATACTTTCCACACCTCCCGTTTAACAAATAAAAGTACGTGACTCTTATACTTCGACTTATTAAGTATGTCGTCGTATCGCCACCATGTCGACTTTCCCACGCATCATTAGTCGGACATTGACGGTTGCATCCCATAAAAGGTATCTCTACATGAAGAAAAAAAATAATATTAATACTTTTTATGTTAAATTAACACTTTAAATGAAATATAAGCAAATAATTAATATGTTACTCTAAACTCATTAAAATATAAGTCTTTCGTCTCTATAGAGATAAACTTTCATGTGAAGCCAACAACGTCCAATCGCTTCTTGAAAATTGTAATGATTTTTTTGGAGCATTTGCTTGATGGAATCAAGTCGTCGAGCAAAATAAAATAAAATAATAAAATAATAATTCTAATATAATATATGAAAATATAAAACTAATTATCGCATGTAAAATATATTACATACCGAGTTATTTATGATTTAAATAGTACGTTGATCATCAAATCCGAGTAAAGCTTTTTAGAGCTGAGAAAACCGTTATGGGGGCATCCATAGGCATTACTAGTCGGGGCATAACAAACGAGGGTACTACTTAAGGGGATGTAGACGTGTCCAAAATAAAGTCCGCGGCATCGGACACTTGCACTAGTAGTATCATGGTCACGTACACTCGCCATTATTAGTCACACGATCAATATCGAGCCATGACCACCGACACTACAACCAAATCTGCCTAATCCATAAGACATAACTCAAGAATAACACCTAAAACAATTTAAGAAATGAATAATAATTCGACTAAAAATATATTATAAATTGTTTTGAATTAAAACAAACAAAAATTTGTAAATTTGATATTCCCTTATTATTGAAAATCAAATTAACCTAATTAATTAATTAATAATAAATCAAATTCATATTAAATTTAAATAATAATTAATTAATAATTTTATCTAACAATTAACAAAACTTAAAAATTTTGAAAATTAATCGACAAATTAACGTAACAATTAACAAAAATTAACAATTTAACAAATCAATAATAAAAATTAAATTAAATATAAGCAAAATTATAAATCAAGCAATTAAACTTCAACTAAGAAAATAAGAGTGAGAAAAAACTTACCTAATTCGGGTGGAATTTCACTAATATGAGGAAAGGAAAAACAATGGTTTTTTTTTTTTTTTTTGAGAGCATAAAGATTGGAGTGGGTGTGGATTGATTGATAGTGGAGGATTGGAATTTGGTGGTGGTTTGGAAGATAAGGGAGATGAGTAGCTAGGCTGGAGAAGGAGAGGAAAAAGAAAATGGGGGAGGAAGAAGAAGAAAGAGGTTTAATTAGGGATCGAAAAATAGCGACGGACACAATCCTATTGCTAATACGTCTATCCAATATTTCACTTTTAGCGATAGACCTTTTCATCGCTAATTTGCGAGAGATATTTATTTTAGTAACGAAAATTCCATCGCTAAATCTATAAATTGAAAATAGCGATGGATAAGCAATTTTATCTCTATGTTTCCTATCAAATCCATCATTAAACCGTCTTTAAAAGTCCCGAGAACATTTTGTCATCAAATTTAGCGACGGATCGGTGTCCCTCGCTAATAAATTGTCAATAATCCATCTCTATTCCATCGTTATTAGAAGGTTTTTCTTTTTTTAGTGATTTAATATTTACTTAATTAGACAATATTTATGGATAATTTTATTTGATATTTGCTTATCATTTTAACAATGTTTATTTGCTAAAACAATTTCACTTATCATGTAGGAATCAAATATATACAACTGATATTTTGTATCGACACGTGCAGAATAATGATCGTGAGCCGTATATACATGGGACGGTAGTGTTTTGGGATCAAATTACTCTATGTTACGAATGAAGTTCTGCTAATCATGACCCAGCTAGCATGCAATCTACATGTTTGCTCGTCTCAAATAACACAGCTTATGCTATTTTTCTACTGCATGGATTCGGATTAGCTGAAATAACCATCACCACAAGACATACGAAAGAAAATCGATCTCTGTTTTTTTTTTTCTTTTTCTTTTGATAAACTAAGAATCTTTCTTTACTTCATATGCCAGCAAGTATATTCTGGCAGATTGCAGCATATGCATGTTTGATAGTCCTAAATTTAGTTTTCTTTTGTCAAGAACTTATGCAATGTACTATCGTTTATTTTTCTTTTTCTTTTTTCCTAATTTTGTCTTGGTCACCTGTCCTGCCTTCACTTTTGTATTGGCCTGGTGCCGCCTTCTTTATTTAATGAGATTTTTCTCCTTCTATATATATATATATATATGTATGTATGTATGTATATATATAAATTGCAGTCTCATGCTGGGTGTTATTGCAAGTGAAAAGAAGGGATAACTTGCAGTAATTGGTTGTTATGCAAGTTGTTATGTTCAATGAAAATAACAATGTCTTGACACTTGAGTAGGCTGATGATATTCCTAACTCTGAATTCTTTCATCATGCAATGACGGTTTGAAATCGAATTCCATTTGCAATCAGAGACCACAATAGAACTTGCACCACTTTTTAACCAGGCGATATGTATCTTTTAGTGTCCCATGGAATCGCGTGGACATGAATCCCAGTGGTATCCTAATTGCCGACGACAGTTCTTATATGTGCTATTTAAACAATGTAAGGACAATAGTTCTCAATCTGGCATCCATATTTTGAAGAAGCTAGGTAGAGAAAAGGAAAGAGGAGCAGACTCCAAAAGAGGGGGAATCATATGCTAGAAATGGCTTTTTGAAGTGGTGAATACAGCTTGTGCCACCATATTTACAAGCTGTCTTTTTATTTCCTTTAGCTTGGCTATCTTACTAATAAAGTGGTTAAACGTTAAAGCAGTTCCTCTTTGCACATAGCTGCTTAATGTGCAGAGATCATTCTTCCTTTCCAAACATTCCATTTCATGATTCAGGGGGTCATTTTCTTCTGAGGTAGACTAGTCATAACAAAAATAGGTGTGGCCACATAGAATTCTAACAACAGTTATTTATTTATTTTTTTATCTCAGGCATCTTGATCACATTGTGTCCAATAAATGATCCTGAGATGGTCAAAATGGGATGTTTTTAAGATGGTTCTGAATAGATGCGAAATAAATAAGTAGTTAAACTACTGGTAATAAGCAGCAACCGACCAAGGGGAACGGTTGACTGATGTCCGCTAAAACTTGGAATTAAAAAAAAAAAAATGAGAGGAAAAAAGAGAAAGAGAAAGGTCGGTCTGCAATCTATATCTTTTACGTGCAGATTGGAAGATCCACAATTCAGTGGAAACTTCTGCTTTACAACGTAGAAACATATGAGGTACCTTACTAAAAACTACGAACAAAGCTTAAGAATTGATACCCCTACCATCATCAATTATGTTCTTTGCTTGCATTCTTCCTGAGCAGTTGTCCAACAGGAAAAGTTATGCTATGGGGAATTGCTGCCAGCCCTACCAATCAATTTATGTCCAATCGTACCAGCAACCTGGAATCAAAGATATAGTAAAGTTCGGGAATTTAACAGAAGAAATATGACATTTGAGCTAACTGTAATCCAACTTCCAAAGGAACAAAATCTTTCCTGGAACTCAAAAAGCTACTGGCAAGGAGAATTTTTAACATATTTGGTGATTATAAATAAAATAAATCATGATACCAGGCTCCAGTCAATAGTACATAACAAACAGCCAATTCAAGCTTAAATGATCAATTTATCGAGACAAAGATTTTAATTTCCTTTTGTTTTTCTATGTGTAATTTGTTTATCACAAGGGATTTTAACCTAGTTTCCTCAAGGTTTGCCATATGATGAGTGAGGAACAGTGGATTGCTTTTGATCAGAACTCACAACCAAAGTTAACTAAACTAACTTTTACATGAGACGTATGGGAATAAAAATGAATCAACCTGAAATCACTGCCTTTAGACAACGAAAAACAAGAACCTAAGCATTTTTCTGGAGGAATTGCTTGCCTAATGGAATTTTAGATCACAATTATCTCTATGGCCTGAGAAAATTTTTGTCAAAGAAAGCACTAGCAAGATGACTGGCAGACCAAAGAACACCTAGTAGAAAGAAGTGGAATGACCAAAAAATTTCCCCTGTAGTCTGGCCCTTGATTGATCAAACTAGCAATATTGGATTCACATGGTTTACCAACCTCAAAAAGAATTAGAAATTCCGAGATAATTATAAATAGGCGATCCCAACAGCAAGAAATTTTAGCAAATGCCAGGTTAAGGATTACTCTTATCCTGTGAGTAGAATGCATTTTAGTGACTTCAGAGACCTTATAATTGGATATGAAGAAAAATACTTTTAGAAGAATTAAATGAAGCCGTTCTGATTATCTATAACAGGCATGGAGCATGCAAGGAGGACCAGAATATTTTAATTTTAAAAAGATGGCATCAAGGACAAAAAATAGAACATAGGCAAAGGAGAAGGAAAAGAGAAAAAAAAAAAAAAAAAAAAAGAAGAAGAAGAAGAAGCAAGCGAAGTAAGCTAGAGCAATCCAATTCATCAAGTAAAGGTTTACTACATACTTGTGATCTTCATCAGTCCAACATACAGATTGAGTACAGTCAACTTGAACACAAGGCTGAGCTTCCTCAACAAGTGTATGATCCAATTTACCAGACTCTATAACCTGCAAGTCCTCTAAAAGGATCACATAATGTTTTTGCACATCCTCTTCACTCTTCTTCCCTCCAACCATGGCCGCAACCACTTTCCATCTATCTGGGTCTTCTTCACCAACCACAGCCAAAGCCATCTCAAACAGCTTGTTTTCTTCCCAGCTCCAACCATATAAAACTTTTGGTAAACCATCCATATCACTTGAACCCAAGTGAGCAAACCAGAAAAAAAAAAAAAATCCAATCCCCCTTTTCAGTTCTGATCACTTCCGACACCTGCTTAAAATTTTCTGGAAAATAAGGAAGACCGAGTTGGTCATTCACATTATAGTATTCATGGAAGAAGTTTGACAGAATCTTGTCGGGTAGTTTGTTTGACTCCGTTTTCAGATTCCAACTACCCCTCAGTTTTTGGGACTCTGTCAGATACGCTTGTTACGAACTGCAAAATCTTCTCCTTTTGTTTTTAGGAGAGGGTCTGTTTTTGCGTCAGAGACAATTGGCCTTGCTAAGTCCAGCTCTATACGTAAGCAATATATAAACCAAAGGAAACAATATTAATCCTTACGGTCTAATTCAGGAAACCAATGATCAATAAAGGACAAAACTTGATACTCCATTAACCATTTCTTGCAAGACCCAGAAATACAATCTGATTAATTTAATTTTTTATCCTTCTAAATTTTAGCATTGGATTCTAATTGTTAACAGATCCGGAGCTACTGATAGCACATGTAATTTTTTATTAATTTGATATTAAATTCACTTAACCCATAGTGGAAATGAACCGACAGATTTCATCTTAAGCCAATCAACATATGTTCACATGTTCGAAATTTCTACCTTGTACGTAAAGAAAGAGACTTTTGCGGTTAGGATTGCATGTTAGCTGATTTTTTTTCCCTACATTGCCAAGCAATCACAATTAATAACTGGGTCATTTTCATGGACTTTTAATGTGATAAGAAACAAATGCTAGTTGGCTGTAAAAGAATTGAATCAATTAATGAGTCTTAAATAAGGTAAAAAGGAAATGATATCTTTATTTATCATTTATTTTTTGAATGGGAACCCTAGGGTAAGTGCAAAACCAATCCAGATCTCTACTACTTTTCTAATTTCTCTCACTCTCTTTTGTTAAGGTTCTTAGGGTGAGGTAGCTTTTTTATGATAGGTACGTTCACTTGTCTCCTTCAGTCCTGACAGCTTTGGACCCAAGGGATTTGCACCATATCTCTGGGCATTGCTTATAGCTTTATATATTTCATCATCTTTTCTGTAAGAGGCAGGTTGATGTATTTCTTAATCGATAGAATTATAGGGATAAGACAATTGAAATATCAAAACTATGACTTAAGAGAGCCTTTATTGTTTTTCCTTACTTTTCCAGGTCAAGATTGGCGACCTTTGCAATAAAAGAGTTGATATCAGCCAAAAAGGCAGAGAAAATGTGTACACCATACCCCACTTGAATGGCAATTTCATCCTATAGGTTTGGCTTTCCCTAACCTTTAGGTTTTTTCTTTTGAGATACAACTAATCATGATTTGTTATCTACTAATGTTTTGGGGTCGGTGGATAAGAACAATTTTCAATTTTATCATCTACTTGCTGGTGGGGGGCACTATAATTACATTCCTCCTCCTCCTGAATGAGGAGAGGATGACCATTTAGCGTTGCCTAACCTTTAAGCAAGTAGGGTTGGTGGGTTAAAGATTATCGCCTGGAGATCATAAATTCCGCTCACATGATTAGCAGCCCTGATTGAACTTGTCGATTTTAAAGACTGCAAGGATGAAGGAAAATTTTCTGTCAACAACTGCTCCCATCATGTTACAAACAATCAATCATCTATTTCAATGCTGACAATTAATCCCTCGTGAACTATCCAGAAATGGAACCACCTACAAGAAGAAAAACATGATACACAACTTAGTCATGGGCTGGGATTTGAGTAACGGCCCATTAAAGGATATACACCTGCACTTCATTTTGTTAAGAACATTGGAAGAGCATGACACAAACGCGCAATAATAACAACAACGACGACGACGACGACGACGACAATTGGGTTCTTTCCGTCTAGGAATGCCATGGTTGCTATATATGGTGTCTTTTTTTTTTTTTTTTGGTAGAAAGATATCAATATCGGCCTTATAAAATATAAGGAAAAAAAAAAAAGCATTCGTAGCTTGCCTACAAATGTGATGAGTCCCTGCATTTTCCAGCCTTTCTTGCAGCTTTTGAAATTTGATTGCGTTCTATCGTTTAACAAATAAATATTTTAAAATTATAATGTACTTTTATTATTTTTTAATGATAATTAAATTATTAAAAATATTACTAATTCTTTTAATAAATTAAACTATCATTGTATGGTTTTAAATTATTAGATATGTTACTATAATACTTGATTAATAAAATTATTAAAAATATATAAATTAAAATATATTTATTAACAAGTATTAATACATTCACAATATCAATTGCTGTTATTTTACTACCATAATAAGATACCATTGCCATCGTTTTTAAAATAGGTTTTGCTATTTAAAACTATGACTGTAATGACCTATTAAAAAAAAAATCTACATGACGTAGTTGTGCGATGCAAGTGTACACGCTGAACGATACAATTAGATTTCAAGCTACAAAATGATAATGACTTCATCTCTCTTCCCTGAGAGATCAGAAATTTATTAGAAAGAATACAAAATAAAATACAACAATTAGGGCTCAGCAGTGAAATATGGGAAAAACAGCGGGTCTACAACAACTGAGGACTCCCACGGAATAATACCAATAAAAGGAGGTCCGTGGATCAACCAGCTTCACTCAATAGAACTGAAAGATGCAATTGCATCTCCTGCTGTAATAATACCAATAAAAGGAGGTCCACGGATCGACTAGCTTCACTCAATAGAACTGAATGATGCAATTGCATCCATTTCCTCCTGTAGAAGAAGAGCATCAATGAAGACATCCAGACTCTCACCCTGCATCACATCATTTATTGCATGATGAGTGATGCCAACACGATGATCGGTGACGCGTCCTTGAGGGAAGTTGTATGTTCGGATGCGTTCAGATCTGTCTCCACTGCCAATCTGTTCAAGAATACATAAGAGCTCCAAATCATTTTTGAAAAAAAGACAAACCAGTAATGCTTGCTTGCAAAGAAGTTATCTCATAATTGAGCTAAACCTGCTCTGATCGTAGTCTTGATCGACTCATATGAATTCTTGACCTCTCCATTTCATACAGCTTTGCACATAGCACCTTGAGGGCTTTTGATTTATTCTACAAAGAATCAGAAAGTGAAAAATTGCATAAGTGAACCATTGAGGATTGTGTGGGTCTTATCTGCCTTAAATTTCACATCACTCCAAGTAGTCAACATGGGCAGAACTACAGAACCGAGCTTATTCAAATGGCTGATTATTTCTAAATTAAATAACCCCTTTTTTTTTTCTTTTTCTCATATAAGCATTCGTTGGTTGCTAGGAACAGCCAGATGGAATTCATATGCTTGTGGCTTGATTATATGTTAACAAGAAAAAGAAGCAGAAATAAGCGAATCATTATTAAAGGCACTGATATGATTAGCAACTTAGTGTGTGGGCTGCAATACATAAAACCTAGAAGGCAGAAATTGACAGTAGTGTGTGTGTGAAAAAGTTGGTCAGGTGCCAGATCCAACATAGCTTTTAATATTTTGATGCTCAAAGCATCCATTTGCATGTTATTTATGGTTCAATCAGCAGCTCTTCTACTCTGCCGTTTAATCAATGACCATCAGTCTCTAGAAGAATCTACTGTAGGAGGCCAGTTGCGACCTAATGATCCAAAACACTCAGAAACCAAAACAGTGTAATTGACGAGGATCCTTTTACCATATGCTGGGATCGTTCATCTTGTATGGAAACGGTTATCCCGGTTGCAAGATGAGTTATTCTAACAGCACTATTGGTGGTATTTGCATGCTGGCCACCAGAACCACCAGACCTGTAGGTGTCAATTCTCATATCTTCATTCCTTAATTGAACGTCTACCTACAGAAGCCCCGAAAACAATAAATCAAAAGAAGTCCCAATATCCAATCGCATTGGACTGAAACATAAAAAAAGATCGATCAGAGAACAAAAATAAGATGTATTGATACTTCTAATTACTATAATGACCAAAGACCATGAATAGCCAGTAATTGTGGACGGTATGATAGCTTTTCTTATGAATGCTTAGATACTAACATGAAACCCTCATGTGATGAATTTTCAAAATCTTCCAAATAACATATTGCTGGTTATTATTTACAGAGTTTAGCACCTCATCAGCTTGAGGAAGAATAGCAACAGACACAGCACTCGTTTGAACACGCCCCAACTTCTCTGTCACTGGAACACGCTGCCAAAAGCAAACTGTCAGTCATGCGTGTAAGAAGTCGTGCACAGTTTATTGGACAGGGTAGTGATAAGACCTGAACTCTGTGAATTCCACTCTCAAATTTGAGTTTCCCAAAAACGTCAGCTCCAGTGATTGCTGCAGTAGCTTCCTGCCAAAGAGAACTAGAAGTTAGGTATCTGTCACATGATCAAAAGATGAGCACCCCATACAACATCTGAGACTTAGAATGCAAAGAAGAGGCCAAAATCTTCCATGGACAAAAAAATTTAAAGAACACGGTTTAAGATGGAGCAGATAAAAGATTAATTAAAAAATTCAACAAAAGATGGATTAATACCTTGTATCCTTTCAAACCAGACTCAGCTGTATCAACTACTTCAAATCTCCAACCATTCTTCTGCGAGAATCTCTCATACCTGTTGTAGTTAAAGCACGTTTTCTATTCTCAAAAAAGGACTTGGGAACAGAGTTATAAATAGTTACAACAGATACATGTTCCAACAACTTACATCTTGAATATATCCATCGCAAATAAAGAAGCCTCTTCTCCTCCAGTTCCTGATTAAAACTTTTGTCAAATTCAAGAGAATATAAACAGAATAGAGGGAGAAGTATATTAAAAGAGCTTCATGGTTCTGAGTTCTGACAACAAAACCATAGGTTTAAAATGAAATTTCACTTCTGATGCTATCTATAGATATATTGTTACCTGCTCTCACCTCCAGAATGCAGCCCCTCTCATCAGCATCATCCTTGGGAATTAACGACTTCAGCAGCAAATTCTGCAGTCTTTTCTCTTCTTCCATGGCCTGACTCATTTCCTCGTTTGCCATATCAAGCATGTCTTTATCTTCTGGGCATTCAGCTATCAGTGATCTCAAACCATCAATCTCCTAGAAAGTGAAAAAAAAAAACCTCATACACTGCCACTTCCCCACAGTAATCAGTAAAACGCTTCTGAAGCAAGAAAGCCCATACCCAATTAAAAAAAAAATGCAAATTTCCAATTGGGTGTTCTTGTTTTAATTGCTACATTGTAAAATCTTACTGATTAGCAGACCCATTGTTTTTCCTTCTCCTGATGTTTAGTCTAGACATATACGTATTTGCAATGACTGGCATCTTTTAGTGACTAGTTTTGGTTACATACTTAACTTATTTGACAAAATATGCAAAAGTATGCCTTTTCAGAACTTCGCACTCTAATGGTTGAAACTTTAAACACCCTAAGCAACTAACACGATGTTACTTTAAACACAAGATTAGAGCATGATATGTTTGCTTCCTCTAGTTAAAGCTGAAAAGCACAAACGATAAGACAACAATACATACGTTATATTTCCTCAAATGTGTTCCTATAGGAGCATTTTCATGATAGCCGAAAGATATTCTAAACAGTACCTTCTGTTTGGTCCTGAGGTTGGTTATAAGTTCCATTGAACCCCTGAGTTTCCGAAGCTCTTTATTCGCCTTCGAAAAATCTGTAGGTGAGGCTTCTGGCTGTCTTCAATCAAAATACAAAGTGAGAAAATACATCATTCTATAATTAAAGTGAGCAACAACAGACAACCTTCTTTTTTTTCAAAAGACATTAAAAAAAAAACCTCAAATTTGAAGAAATAAATAGTAACATCGAAGAAATTACCTGGTTAATGAAATTCTCAAGAGAAGCACTCCTGTGTTCGATCGCTAATAGTCTTTGTTCCATTATTCTAATTAGGTTCGGAGATAACTGTGGTTGCAATTCTGCTTTGATGCCAAACAAAACACAAAACAATCATAAATGAATGAAACAAAAATTTACTCTAGATTTTGAAAAGAAAGAAAAGACGGACCAGTAGAGTAAGAGCGAGAGAAAGGGAGACAAGGTTTGGGAATTGGGGATTGGAGAAAGGATGTTCGATTCCAATGATTTGCGTTCCGCCCAGATTGAATAAGCTGCTGCTTTAACAAATTGAAACTCCATTTAAACCCAGCTCCTCCATGTATTCTTCTCATGTTATACTAGTGATCAGTGAGTCTGGCAGGAGCTGGGGAGGTGAATGATGCTGTTTGTCTCGCTTCCTATGCCTTCAACAACTAAAAGCGCTAAGAAAAAGATAATCCTCGGCGCTTCCTTTCTTTCACCTCTGCTACGCTTAAACAATTCCCACACTACAGTTCATTTTTACTTTTTCACCCCTTCTGTTTTCTTTTTACCCAAGAGTCAATACACACCGTTTCCTTGAGGAAAATATCAGAATTTTGTTAGCAAGAGTGTAAGACCATGAACCCTTGATCAACCGGTTCGGACTGGAAAGTGGAAACAATAAACCGGGTATCAGGCATTAGTCCATTTCTCGTGAAGTGTCAAGAAACTTAAATAAATATTTCCAAACAAAATAAATTCAGTTTTTATTTCTTTTTATATTACGCTTAGCGGTGGTATCTAAAATTAGCCCATCCAATTAGTTTTTACATTAATTAAAATTAAACCTACAAGGTTTTAATTGGATTAGCGCGAAGCAAACTTAATTATTTAATTATTTATCTATACTTATTGTTCCACCATACCATTTTTTTGTTTTTTTTTTTACATGATCTCCTGCTCTACCAAAAAAAAAAAAATTTCAACGATAAACTCCAATAGTATTCAATATCTTTATTTTTATTTTAGTTTTTTTGTTAGATATTATAAAATATTTTTAACTTCAAAAATTAGTTTGAAAAAAGAGATTTTTTTTCTCAAATTTATAACCAGTTGTCCAATACTTTTTACAATCAATTCACATATTGAATCTTAATTGATTATTTCTCATCAATTTATATGATTTTGATAAATATAGAATCATTTAACCTAAGTATGATATAAATATTAAATGTTATTACCTGTTTTCGAGGTTGAAACTTAGTTCTTAAAATGGGATTTCATTAATTTAAATTTATGCTTAAATCTCTGAAAAAATGACCTCATAACTTTTTTAATTTTAATTCGGATCGATCTTTCGATTATTTTGGTCCCCATTAAAGATGAGACACCTGTCCTGCACCAGGTACCCAACGTAACTTTTTGCCACTATCATGACAACCAAAAAGAAATTCGGCTACAAATAATAGTTTCAAATTTCCCAATATCACCATAAGAGTTTCCAATAGGTTTCAATGCAGTCCTTTTCCAATTTCCATTATTATTTTTTTTAAAAGTATTTTTATACCTTTAAGGGATTTCGTCGTATATTATTCACATTTAACAGTAGGAAGAATGAAGGTGCAAATTTTGAAGTTAAAAGGAATGGTTCTCGTAATGTTATGTTGCGATCTCGAGATCAGCCCGGTCATAAATTGTATTAGGTGCTGTAGTCGGTGATTCTTTAATTTGTTAAGCTGTAGCTGGTCATGTCAAAACTTTTGAGAAACTATTCTATTTTTATTTTTATTGTTTTAAGAAAAGGTGAGAGAAAAGCCCATTAATTAAGAAAGAAAAGAAGCAGCAAAGACCAACAACAACCACCCCCCAAAAAGGAGGATTATTACAGAAAGAAATGCAGGGGGATGAGGCCAGGGTCTTGCTAGGCTTCCCTCCCAATTCCCGCCCCACTCTCTCTCAGGTCAAATCCATCCCCCTCTCCTTCTCCTTCTCTCTTTCTCCTTCAATCGCTCCTATTTTGATTTTAACACACCACTCGATCCGTTAATTGTTTCTCTTTCGAATTTATATGCTGCTATATTTTATGAGCTCTACTACATAAATAAATTTCTTATTCTAGGGTTTGAATAAGTCATCAACAACTGAACTTTCTTTGATGTTCGATTACTTATTTTTTAGCTAAGCTCTTTGGGGTTTCGCTTCCCCCCCCCCCCCTTCATTCATCGCTTCTTGCTATCGACTGAATTATTAATAATTTTTTGTGTGTTAGGTTAAAGCTGCATACAGAAAGAAAGTATGGGAATCTCATCCTGACCTCTTTCCTCTTCATGAAAAGCCCGGTGCCGAGTCCAAGTTCAAGTTGGTAATTAACCATCCACATGCCTTCTGTTTTTTTCTTTTTCTTTTTTTAATGTTTGAAGAGTTTTGTGATTTTCTCAACTCATTGCTACTTTGCTTAAACTGCCACACCTCATGTGCTCAAATTGCATCCATCTGTATTATCCTAAGGACCTAGGCAGATGAACAGCCGTTTTAGCATCAATGCACGTGTTGCTGTATTAATTCGAGTTATAGTTTCCTTTTTTCCTCTTCTTTTTGTTTCATGTTTTTTCAAATAATGTCAAACTAATGCTGCAAGTCCTTAGGTTGTGCATATCGTGCCAGGTAGTCTTAGTTTAATTCTTTTCGTAGTTCTGACTGCTGTTTTTGTATTTGCTGCAGATTTCAGAAGCTTACACTTACTTGCAGACTGGTAATTCTCCCATCTCATTGTATTATGGGATATATCAAAAAACATAAATCGTGGTTTGCAAGCTCCGAAAAATGGACTAGATAACTTATTGGACGTGGACAAACCTGCAATTCTGCATTAATATTCTCATGATTTTGCATACCTTTATTTGAGATATTGATTGACTTTGAATAGAAACTTCTTGAAATACTGTGTCATTTCATGCTGTTGTTTTTCCTGTCTGCCTGCTGAGACGACCTTCTTGTACTGAATTTGCTGTTTGATGGTTTTCTTTGTGGGTGTATTTTTCTGCTTTTTTTTTTTTTGTTCTTTTTTATGTTCATTGCTTGCTCTTTGGATTCTCAACTCACCTGTTATTGTAGTTTTGGTAACTAGCACAGGCTTATCTGAAAGACCCATTTTATGGTTTTGACTTCTGAGGAAGAAACACAAGTCAACTAGGCTTTGAGATACTTGCAACAGGAGACTTGCACTTGAGAAAGGATTTCCAGGGTAATAACTAGGTAAATTAATTCCAGTTTCCGTGCTGCATGCTAATGATGAAACTTAGATGTCAGAATTGCCATTTTTTCTTTTTTTTTCTTTTTTGTTTGGTGAATGTTGCGGGTGTTGTGTTTTTGTGAGAGTCATATTTTCTCTGTTGAAGAACTGTCATAGGGAAGACTTTATCCTTCATTTGGAATTTTATAGAAATCTAGCGGAGTATGTGAAATTTTTACTGTTGGTGTTAAGGATTTTTCTTTAGTTTGTTTTAAGACTGAAATTCATGTCAAATTGAAGTTCTTAATTTGTGCACCATCTCCAGATTTATCACCCGTTTAGCTAACCCAGTATCATTGCTTGTCTTTTGGATAATAATTTGTTCAACCATGCTCATTTTATATATCTTTATATTAGTTGGATCTTTTCTTCTTCTTTTTTCATCCTTTTCAATGTTGCACGAAGACCATTTATGATATGCAAGGTTTTACAGATTTGCATATGCTTTTTCAACATCTGGATGCAAAGTAGAAGTACCAATGCCATGACCAATGTCAGGAGATGATTTTATTATAGTGCATATCTCTTTTGTTGGAATATTATTTTTTCTGAGTTGGGAATGCTCCTTTCTCTGGTGCTTTTATTACCCCCTTAGATAGTTGTCTTTCAGTTTCTCTGAAATTTAAATTGCTGATTTCACATGTTTTCATCTCTTATAGCTGTTTGTTTATTTTAATGCTTCTTTGAATGTAACAGACAAGGACATAAGCTGCTGCAGCAGTGCTAATTGCCAAATGTTTGAAGAAATGGCCCCACTTCGGTCCTCGGGATATATTGATCCTGGATGGGAACATGGCATTGCTCAAGATGAAAGAAAAAAGAAGGTCAAATGCAACTACTGTGGGAAAATAGTTAGTGGTGGAATATTCAGGTTGAAGCAACATTTAGCTAGAATGTCTGGTGAAGTTACTCACTGTGTTAAGGTTCCTGAGGAAGTATGCTTCAATATGAGAAAAAACCTTGAAGGATGTCGTTCAGGTCGAAAACGAAGGCAAACTGAATATGAACCGGCATCTTTAGCTTTCCACTCCAATGAGTATAATGACATGGAAGAAGCTTCTTGTAGTTACAAACAGAAAGGCAAAAAAGTGGTGAGTGACAAGAACTTGGTTATAAGGTTTGCTTCTCTTCGATCCTTAGGATATGTGGACCCAGGCTGGGAACATTGTATTGCTCAAGATGAAAAGAAGAAAAGAGTCAAGTGCAACTATTGTGAGAAAATTATTAGTGGAGGCATAAACAGATTTAAACAACATCTGGCTAGGATCCCTGGGGAAGTTGCCTACTGTGACAAGGCACCTGAGGAAGTGTACCTTAGAATCAAGGAGAACATGAAATGGCACCGTACTGGAAGAAGGAATCGGAAACCTGAATCTAAAGAGATATCCACTTTCTATACCAACTCTGATAACGAGGATGAAGAGGAGGAGCAGGAAGGAGGATTGTTGCAATATTCAAGTAAGGATTTGCTGGTCATTGATGACAAAGTTTCAGACAATGACATCAGAAATAATATCAAGGGGAGGTCCCCTGGCAGTAGCAGCAACGGTGCTGAACCACCAATGAAAAGATCAAGATTGGATTCAGTGTTTTTAAAGTCTCTTAAAAGCCAAACATCATCACACTACAGGCAAACTAAAGCAAAGATGGGTTTTGAGAAGAAAGCTCGAAAGGAAGTGATCTCTTCCATATGCAAATTCTTTTATCATGCAGGATTGCCTTCAAATGCAGCAAATTCCCCATATTTCCACAAAATGCTGGAGTTGGTTGGCCAATATGGACCAGGTCT